GAAGAGATTCTTGCAACTCAGCTGCCACCAGGTTGCTTCCATGGGCCGGTAAAGTTCCAGCCAGTGGGAAGCTGGGGAGAAGAGTGGCAAACTCTTGTTCACCGATCTCCTCCCCGCCTTATGGGACCAGGAGCGACGTGGATTGCATCACTTTCGGTCCCTGAAGCTCAGCAATAAGCTATTGAAGTGGGATCTGCACCTCAACAGCTTAGAGTGGAAAGGAGATACTAGGTGTCTTTTGGACACCCAGTATCACCTCTTAGAGGACCGGTCAGTGCCAATCTGCTATCACATGGGGGGCTTTGAAGCCCCCCTATGTGCTAGCAATTAAAGGAGAACTATGGGGTTAGGGTTTTTCCCCATAGTTCTCCTTAGGGTAACAGGAGGACACAAACTAGCGTCCTCCCGTCACCCTAGGCTCAGTATATCTATACTGAGACGTCGCAGCTGAAGCCAATCACGACAATTATGTCTGGATCCACCCAGCTGCGTGAATGACAGCTGGCTCTGAAACTATTAAATAAAATAAACGTAAAAATAATATAAAACATTTTTTTTAAAGTCCCCCATGAGCATGCGTGTATTTATATAAACACGCGTCGGGTGCGCCTTCGTGCGAAAACATCTGTGCGTATCTCGAAACATTTGACCTTTAGGGGCTTTTAAAGGGTAGTCTTAGGACTTTTTGGGGTACTGGATTTTGTCGCCGCTTCACAGATGCACAAAATTTTTAATTGAATATTTACTCGTTGTAACCTCATCTTTTATATTTTACAAAAACAAATGGGTATTATATTTTGCTTTGGGGCACTAAATTTACCTGTGCATTTCACAAATGTTGGGGTTTGATAAGGAGTTGGGCTAATATTGTGCACCATAAAAATTTGCAACTGCCACCATTTTATGCTAGGGGGTATTGGCTTTCAGAAAATATAAAATATTTGCAGGTTATGTGTGCAAAAAATAAAAAAAAAGCCCTTGACAGCGAAAGGATCCTCAAGGGGTTAAGGAAGACTGATGACATTATGTTTGAAGTACTTGATATGCACCAAGGCACCCATTCAGGATTAAAGAAAGGTGTACTGAAATCAGTTGCAGAGTTACCACACACCATTAGGGAGACAGTGACTCTCAGCTTTTTGTGAATTCTCCAAAGGAAAGAGAGAGAGAGAGAGAGAGAGAGAGAGAGAAAGAGAGAAAGAGAGAGAAAACAGTAAGCCCTGAGTGTCATCAGGACAGAAAGTGAGGGGAAAATCTTCTCAGCAAGGGCACAGACAACACTAAAACCCTGATGAAAGATCTAACCCTTCTCCGCTCCACACAACTGGAGGTTAATTTTATTAAGGAAATTCACTAGCTAAACACCACTGATATTAGCCAGCGCTATATTTTGAGACAATGACGTGGTTGGGTGCTATAAATATTCATCCCTCTAACTCTCTCACATACTTTGCACTAAAAACTACAGAAAATCTTCCAGGGTTTTAGTGATAAAAGCAATGCTCCAAATTACTGGGGATCTGATGAAAATTAGGCCACTCAACTAATGACTGATAAATACATATCTTTTACTAGTAGGAGCAATAATAACTGAAAAGTAGTCACTGCTGTCGCCCTTTTATTTTCTTTCTCCTGCCATCAGATCTCTGGAATGATCTGAATAGATTTTATTTTACTGCATATCTCTAACTATAGTCCTCTCTGCTATGTACAATGTTAATAATATTTAAAAGAGAACTATGGGGTAAGCTCGCGATATACTGAGCTTTGGGTCACGGGAGGACGCCAATTTGTGTCCTCCCGTGATCCAAAGCTCAGTAGATCGCGAGCTACAGCTCGTGGTATACTGAGACCGCCACAGCCGAGTCGAGATCCACTGTCGAGATCCACCCAGTAAGTGACAGCTGGCTCTGCCTATCTAGAGGCAGAGACAGTTGTGCCCGCCCCCTCCCCCGTTCCTCAAGTCGGTGCTGGAGGATCGGAGCAGGGAGAATTCCCTGCGGGGATCAGTGACTGACTGCAGGGAGATGATCGAGAAGTGAGCGAGCGATGGTATGTGTTCGCTCACTTCCCGATCTATTGAGGCGACGTGACAGTTCATTGTCACACGTGGGCTCGAACCATGAGGATGAGTGATTTTCACTCACCTCATAGTTCTCCTTTAACCACTTCCGGGCCGTAATACGTCTATAGACGGCGGCCCGCAGAAGTGGTTATAACAAGAACACGGCTGCTGGTACGGCTTTTAACAGCAGGCAATTGCTGTTAATGTACAATCGATCCGGCGCCAGTACAGGCGCCAGGTCGTTTATACAGCGTGGCGCCTTTGGCTTCCCCGGGCACCGCTGTCCTCGTGCGGCGCCCGGGAGTGGCTCAGCGGGTCTCCCCGCAATGATTGGAGAGAGATTCAGCGGCTTACAGTTTATTATGTTTATTACATCACTTCCGGTGTCATTCTTACAGTCTCCGGCTCTTGGAGCCAGGAGATAAAGCTGGGGAAGCAAATCTCTGCTTCATCAGCTTCTTTGGGGTCCCTAGGTGACATTAGCAGGTTTATTCACAAAAGGGGGAAGAGTTTAGAGAAGGCAGGAGAAGTGAACAATCTAGGCCAACATAGCCGATTTGGAAAAATTCTCAGATTCAGCTTTGTTGTACTAGATTGTTCACTTTTGTGAATAACCCAGTTGGTGTCTGAAAGACCCCTGATGTCTTATTAAAGAGGACCTGTCACACCTTATCTGCTATTACATAGGGTGCTTGTTATCCTCCTATGTGATAGCAATGGGTTTAGTGGATTTTTCGAGATATTATATATATATCTCGAAAAATTTTCTTACTATTTTCTATTTTCGGGGCATTTTCTTACTATTTGCGCACACATGATTAAAATATACATTTTTGTATATTTTCTTACTATTTCTTACTATTTTCTTACTATTTGCGCACACATGATTAAAATATAAATTTTTGTATATTTTAATCATGTGTGCGCAAATAGTAAGAAAATGCCCCGGACAGAAAGTGGTTAATGTGATTGCTCTGTTTTGATTAACCTTTCAACTGTTATTTATTTATTTGATACTGTCAAGCAGTTTTATCAACAAAAAATTGGAAAAAATATGAATTATTGCATCTCAATAGTTCGTATTATTACAATAACAAAAATATAAAACAACCTGGTAAGAAAACCTCTTCAATATTATATCACAAAACATGAACCTCTCACATTGTGTAGCTGTGGTGCCCCCTTGTGGTATGGTTTGAATGTCACCAACAAAAACAAAACCTTTATCTTTGCTGCTACATGGTTTACATATATATATTTATATAATTATACTGTATGTATATATACACACACAGTTGTGTGAAAAAGTGTTGGCCCCCTTCCTGATTTTTCATTGTTTTGCACGTTTGTCACACTTTAATGTTTCAGATCATCAAACAAATTTAAATATTAGTCAAAGATAACACAAGTAAACACAACATGCAGTTTTTAAAAAAGAGGTTTTATTATTAAGGGAAAACAAAATCCAAACCCACATGGCCCTGTGTGAAAAAGTGTTTGCCGCCTAAACCTAATAACTGGTTGGCCCACCCGTAGCAGCAAGAACTGCAATCAAACGTTTGCGATAACTTGCAATGAGTCTGTTACAGCGCTATACATGAATTTCATCTTTGCAGAATTGTTGTAATTCAGCCACATTGGAAGGTTTTCGAGCATGAACCGCCTTTTTAAGGTCATGCCACAGCATCTCAATAGGATTTAGGTCAGGACTTTTACTAGGCCACTCCAAAGTCTTCATTTTGTTTTTCTTCAGCCATTCAGAGGTGGACTTGCTGCTGTGTTTTGGATCGTTGTCCTGTTGCAGAACCCAAGTTTGCTTCAGCTTGAGGTCACGAACAGATGGCCGTACATTATCCTTCAGCATTTTTTGGTAGACAGCAGAATTCATGGTTCCATTTATCACAGAAAGTTTTCCAGGTCCTGAAGCAGCAAAACAGCCCCAGACCATCACACTACCACCACCATATTTTACTGTTGGTATGCGGTGTTACTCTTACGCCAGATGTAAATGGGACACACACCTTCCAAAAAGTTCAACTTTTGTCTCGTCAGTCCACAGATTTTTTTCCCAAAAGTCTTGGGGATCATCAAGATGTTTTCTGGCATAACAGGGACGAGCTTTTATGTTCTTTTTGCTCAGCAGCGGTTTTCGTCTTGGAACTCTGCCATGCAGGCCATTTTTGCCCAGTCTCTTTCTTATGGTGGATTCATGAACACTGACCTGAACTGAGGCAAGTGAGGCCTGCAGTTCTTTGGATGTTGTTGTGGGGTCTTTTGTGACCACTTGGATGAGTCGTCGCTGCGCTGTTGGGGTAATTTTGGTTGGCCGCCAACTCCTGGGAAGGTTCACCACTGTTCCATGTTTTTGCCATTTGTGGATAATGGCTCTCACTGTGGTTCGCTGGAGTCCCAAAGCTTTAGAAATGGCTTTATAACCTTTTCCAGACTGATAGATCTCAGTTACTTTCTTTCTCATTTGTTCCCGGATTTCTTTGGATCTCGGCATGATGTGTAGCTTTTGAGGATCTTTTGGTCTACTTCACTTTGTCAGTCAAGTCTTATTTAAGTGATTTCTTGATTGCGAACAGGTGTGGCAGTAATCAGACCTGGGTGTGGCTGGAGAAATTGAACTCAGGTGTGATAAACCAGAGTTAAGTTATGTTTTAACAGGGGGGGGGGGGCAAACACTTTTCACACAGGGCCATGTGGGTTTGGATTTTGTTTTAATTTTAAAATATTTTTAAAAAAGCATGCGGCAAGTAAAAAAGAACTCTTGATTTCAATCAATTATTCCAAGTTAGTGACTCAGCAGTAATAGCAGTCTACATAATGCTATTAATAAGGTGAAACCTCCCTGTGCATGATATTTAACATTGAAAACTGTTTTTTATGCAATCTAAAAATCTGCTGGAAGAAAGTGGATAGTGCACAATACCTGTAGAGTGTATAATTAGTGGCATTGTCTTGAGATTCCTTGTGGAGCGGTACAGTTTAAGATATCCCCGGTTTCTTGCTTTGGCATGATGGTACTGGACAAATCGCTCATTGACCACGTGCAGCAACCACAGTATGACTTTACACATGATCACAATTGTAGTCAGTCTAAAGGGATCAGTGTATGTCTTGCATTCATCCTCATCACCGTGCAGCAAGCAAAAATAACCAGAGACAGCCGTCAAAGCTACAAAGGCTACCTGGGGAAAGAAGAAGAATTCTGCACGTTAAATTAGAAAACACAAATATTTATAGTAGTGCAGCACAAAGCCTATTTACACAACCTGCCGTCTGAAGCTGTTAGAGCTGCTACTATGCCTATTGGCTGATCTCTTAAAACAGACATTCAGAATGAGTTGTCTGAAAGACTACGTGCAGGACGGAAAGCTCTATTGGTTCCTCAGTTCTGAGCAGCTTAAAATGTTGAGATGAGAAGTGTCTACACACTGCTTCCAATGATCTCTTTTACCTCCAATAAAAGACACCTCTCTGCAACGTGATGCTATGGAGTGCCGGATCTACAGCTGGGTTCCTGTTCACTTCCTGTTCCAATCCAAATCAGTGAAACAAATGGGCTGGAGTCCAACAAAGGTTTCTTGTTTCTGATTATTATTTAAATACACAGACAGCGGACATTGGCATCGTCAGGACCAATAAAGCATTTTGGATACAAAGACCTAGCGATGGATTAAGGCTTTCTTAGCCGAAATGCGTCAGCAGTTCTGGCTATGCCACTGTCAACTATACACTTTAGCAACTATGCACTTTAGCAAGAAACAGAAACCAGGGGCCTTTCTTTCACTAACTCTTTTAATGTGTTCACTTGTGCATGACTGTTAAAGGAGAACTATGAGGTGAGTGAAAATCACTCATCCTCATAGTTCGAGCTGACGTGTGCCACAGGTCGGCTTAATGGATCTGGAAGTGAGCGAACACATAACGTCGCTCGCTCACTTCTCAATCCTGTCCCTGCAGAGAGCCATGACTGTCACTCACAGCTCCCTGCAGGGATTCCCCCCCCCCCTCCCCTGTACGATCCTCCAGCGCTGACTGGCGGAAAGGACGGGGGAGGGGGCGGGTACAAGTGGCTGTGCCTCTAGATAGGCAGAGCCAGCTGTCAATCAAGCAGCTGGGTGGATCTCGACAGTAATGTCGGTATCTGTCCCGGCTTCGGCGGTCTCAGGATACCGCAAGCTGTAGCTCACGGTATACTGAGCTTTGGGTCATGGGAGGACGCTAGTTTGTGTCCTCCCGTGACCCTTAGGAGAACTATGGGGTCAGTGGTTTTCCCCATAGTTCTCCTAAGGGTTAAGGGATAACCAGTAAGAGAGCTACCACTATGTATTCTTCACTGTACACCACAAACTAAGTTTTCCATCCCATCCATAAGACTGGCCGCAATTCGGAGCCTGCAGTGTCCCATCTGAACTGAAGCCAAAACTTTTAGTTTTTTTTTGCCATCAGTGTCTCATTGGGGAGATTTCCATTAAAGTGACATTAAAGTCAAAGATTTTTTTTCCCCTCCCCCCAATGTTAATGTCAGCACTTCCCTTAAATGATGTTTCTTAATCCGATCTTGTTCTTCCTGTCGTTTTCATCTGTCCCTCCAGCGCTGCTGCGGGTCTCCGATCCAGCGCTGACTCCTCTGTGCTTGCTGGCACTTCCTGCCCCGCGTTGTCTGCATGCGGGTGCACGCGTCCATAGACTTACCTTGCGTCTCTGCTCGTCTCCCGGGCAAAAAATGTAAACTGCGCATGCTCCCGCCCCAAGATCCTTTGCGGCCGCCCAAGAATTTTCACATTTTTGAACGGGAGCGCGCGGGGAAGACACAGGTACGTTTAAACCGCTTTTAAAGCGGGTTTTTTTTTTTTTTTACACTTTTTGCATATATCTACTGCTTGCTAGCAGTAGATATATGCAAAAACAATGGAGGGTTTAAGGGCCCAGTCACATCATGTCCGGATAATCTCCAGACCGTTTCTGGACCCAAAATGCATCCTAATGTATCCCTATACTATTTCTGGTCTGGGCGTTCCAGCCCAGACCAGAAAAATACTGCTCGTCTTATTTTGTCTGGTCTGGAATGCACTGGAACGCATAAAAAACAATAAAAACGCACTGGAACGCACCGGTAAGACCATTTTAAGCTAAAAAAAAAACATTTCCAAACGCAGAATGTGGCAAAAACGCGGCAAACCGCAATGCACTGCATTCCAGATCTGGTCTGGAAAATGGTGTGAACCTTCCCTAACTTTGGAAGAACAGGAAGTGCGATAAAATCCCTACTAAAAGGTGCCCCATACACCTAGCGAATATCAGTCGGAAATCTAACACAATCAGGTTTTGGTACGATAATCGGCCAGTTGGTGGGACATAAACGATCGGAATTACTGTACAACTGGCTGAATTTCCTCGATCGGTCAGGCTGGAAAACCTTTTTCAAATTGAGTAAAAATTGATGGATTAGTGGCGTTTTCATAAGAAAAAAAATTGCAACATGAACACTGCACATATGCAAACGAAAATCCGTTCTGTCGATCGACAAAATCCGGTCAGTTAGTATTGCTAATAAACGATAATCAAAATCCACATTGGTCTGTGCTTTATGGGGTATTCGAGCGGAACACGGACGACGGTTCGATGAGGGCACAAAATGAATCGAACGATAATCGCAAAGTGTATGGCCAGCTTAAGGGAGGAACATCCCTGGTGGTCAGCAGGATCACCAGAACTAGTGTCCCCATTGGAAGATTTCCCATCCTGTTCTGATGACACCCCAAAATGTGTGATTTTCTTTCACTGATAACGGTCACGGGACAAATTGACAGGTTGAATCTCCGCTTTGTTTCTATCAAATCATTTGTCCAATTTGGAAAACAAATACAGTAGGACTGACCACATGCATTGCAATCTGACTGTATAATCTCCTTTAGATCTACCAACAACTATGTAGTGTGAGGGCCTGTCTGTTTTGGTAGATTAGGTAGGTCCTCATATTACATAGTTTTGGTAAATCTAAACTTGATTGTATAAAGATTGTACAGTCAAAATGTAATGCGTATGGTGACCCTAAGCCTGCTGACATGGTCATAACATGGTATGCTTCCCAGCTTCTTAGCATTGTCCATCAGACAGTTGCAGTGCTGAGGCCATATAGAAACATTATTTATCATACGACAGCATTGAAGACAGCCACCAAATGATTTGTTTTTTATTTGGTACTTGTCCCACATGCCCTTCACATACTGTATATTCATGCATATGTTCTCACATAGTTTCCTCCTTACTATCAATCTATTATAATCAGTCCTGCATCAAATGACAAAGAGGGCTGACTGATTATTTAACACCAGACGAAATCGAGAGACACTGCCCACAGTGACCACTCAAGATACATTATATTGCCCACATGCTGAGGAAAACATCATAAAAATACCACATTATGGGCAGCAGATGGAGCTGAGGAGCATGCAAATGAGTATTTATTTCATTTTATCCTCAGCTCCATCTAGTGGCTGTAATGTGGTGTTTTCCTGATAGTATATTTTCTTTCCAGGTCAAATGTAGTAACATTCGTCTTTGCTCCATTCACAGAGAACGAATATACATGCAGTCTTGCAGGACAAAATGATCTTCAACAATTTATAAAATACACCCCACAGTGTACAGAGTGTTTTAAATTGTTTTTAACCACTTGCCGTCTGCCCTTGTAAAAAAACGGACGGCAAGCTCCTATCAGCGGGTCGCCGTAATTAAACAGCTTTTTTTTTCCTGCTCGAGTGCGCACGGGCAGAAAAAAACAGTTGAATGGAAACAGCCGTTACCGGCTGTTTCACATACAAGTGATCGGCGGCTCTATAGCCGTCTGATCGCTTGTATGTGCTGCCTGCAGGCCTGCAGTGAGGAGGAAGATGGGAGGGAGATCAGCATCTTCCCCCTTGCTGATCTCCCTCCGCCATCTGAATGCAGAAGTGATGTGTATTACATCACTTCCGCAGTCAGCTGTCATTTCTCTGGCTGCTATAGCCAGAGAAGAAGCTGATGAAGCAGATCTCTGCTTCATCAGCTTCTTTGGGGGTCCCCAGGTGACAATAGGGGTCTTCGAGACCCCTAATGTCTCCATAAAGAGGACCTGTCAGTGTGTCTGTGCCATCATATAGGGGATTGTTAGCCGTTGTTAGCAGGTCACTGTGTTTTTGTAACAATTTCTTACCTGCAGCAGTAGTAGAACAATGCACACACAGACAGTAGGTACTGGGAGAAATGTACGTCGGATCTCAGACTGAAGCTTCTGAGAAGGTAAAAGAGGGGCATCTAGGAGGCAATCGTCGTCTGCACTCTGTGTAAGCTCTCCAGAACTCTGAAAAAGAACGAGCACATAGCTAGAGGTCATATAAATGATTTAACAATAATTTGATTTTAGTATACATGAGCAGATCACTGCGGTCACATTTGGAGATAAAACATTGAAATGCAAAAAAGGGAACCCAGCTACTTGGTTAGGGCCTCAAATATATATATCCGCTCCACTTCCTTTTCTCAGTAATCTGGGGTACCCCTGAGGAACAACTTTTCTTTAAAATGCTGGAGATGTATTTCACATACACAGAGGACTCGCACACAGATAGCCTGATGTATCAAAATGCCAGATTAAAGACAATTCTTCCAGGTACCAGTCACCTTAAAAGCTGCCATGGTAGGTTAAAGCTGGCAATACTGGTAGACTTTAGTATGAACGTTCATATAAAATAATCCCATCAGAACATTCCATGTCATCAGAGACTTGACGGACGTCGTTCGAAATTGCATTTGGTTTTTAACGTTCGATTTTGGAAAAGAATGGAGTTCCCAGAATGAAAACCTCATTCACGGTTAGAAGGTTGTTCACCTGACAAAAAGCCTCCATCCTGCTCCATTGATTTATTTCATACTACGTTGAAAAACAATCATCGATTTGACCCCGTTAACTATTAGAACGCCAAACGAATATTCCAAATTACAAAACTCAATTGGTGTATGGCCAGTTTTATTCTGACTGCAGATAGAGAGCACAGAGGTGGCACAGCACGGTGAGTAAACACACCCATCCCACTTGTGAGGAGCTGAGCGACATTTGGCAGCAATGGATCAGAGAGAACTCAAATTAAAGTAAATTTACTAGACTTTGATTTTAGCTCAGACAGTCATAGAATGTTCTGGATATTGGTTTTATTTGTTACCTGGAAGTGCCAGCTTTGCATGAACGAGAGAAGACCACTGGAGACAATGCAGGGTGGAGGGTCAATGAAGACCACTGCTGCAGCTCACACTTTTTAGGGCTCAAGCACAAGGTAATCTACACAGAAAAAGGTTGGCAAATGTTTAATGCGTAAAAAATGCTCGAATTTGGTCCGCAAAGTGTTTACCAATCAGCTGCAGGCGCCGCTGTCAGGATGCTAAGGACAGAGCGGGAGATTCATCCATCCACACTGTTAGCGTGTCAGAGGCTGAATGGAAAAAATCTATCCATGTGTACTCAGCTTTAGACAGCTGCCACCAGAACAAGTGTCCTCACTGGAAAAGTTTCCCCTACAATGCTATCCTGGTGACAACTCAAAATTCTGGATTTCCCTTAGGTTCAGTCCCAGCAACAGTGGTCACTAGGACATAGAGAGAGGGTGAAACTACACCGCAGAGATACAGATAACAATAAAAACTCATTAATAAACATGAATGCTCTCTTTATGACATAAAAACCCTTAAAACAACATTCCTGAGAAACAAGGCTCAGTAGGCTCCTATGTAGTCTACATTGTTACCAGTAGAGGTCAGCATTTTGCTTCCATATGAAAGGGGGTGAGATGCAGTCGTAAACCCAACAATACAAACCAGTAGAAATTTCCTTGGAAGACTTTTTTTTTAGGCTGAATTCATACCTTTAAGCCTCAATTCACTAAGTACTATAGATCTCCTCCTCATATTTGCTTGTCCTAGTCTATTATAGTTTGTCACAGACTTAATAAAAAGCATTCAATGTATGGAAGTCCAAAACTGGAACTGTAGTGTTCCCACTGAACACAGGAACAGTCACAGTAATACAGAAAACGTTATTAGGGCTGCAACTAATGTAGAGCTGCAGCTAACGATTATTTTCATAACCGATTAGTTAGCCGATTATTACCTTCGATTAATCGGATAGAATTTTTTTTTAAATACCGTAATTTATTTAAAATAAAATACACAATTGCAGCTTTACAGACAAAGTTTACTTCAGAATAAAATGATATGCACATTGTTTGCAATCGCACTGCACTGGAACGCAGGGCATTGCTGTACCGCGCATTCCAGTGCGGGCAATCACACTGCGGACAAGAGGTGCATTTGGGCTGCATTGAATTAATGGCACCGCAACACACCTCCTGCTGCAACATTCGTCAGTCCGAAACTGAAAATTACCTTTCTAGATAGACAGACAGACAGACACAAAATTTAAATGGGTAAGCCGTATTAGTCCAGTAGACAAGATGTAAAAAAAACAAAAATGGAGTATTGCAGTATGAAAGGTATTATTGCATACTGAAATACTCCCATTTTTGTTTTATATATACAGTTGAAACTCGATTAGAATATCGTGCAAAGTTCATTTATTTCACTAATGCAACTTAAAAGGGGAAACTATAATCGATGTAATCGATTAGTTTTTGCAGCCCTAAACTAATGATTATTTTCATAATCGATTAGTTGGCTGATCATTTTTAATCAGCTAAAAAAAAAAAAATTTAAATACCATCTTTAAAAAAATACACAAATGGAGTGTTACAGACAGGGGCTTAACTAGAAATCCCAGGGCCCCATAGCAAAATTTTGTATGGGGCCCTGTGATTTCTAGTTACGCCCACCTAATAACCCAAACAGCCCACCTGAGAGTGAGCCTGCGGAGCCCACCATAGACTTTCTACGGTGGGCTCTGCAGGGTCTCAGGTGGGCTGGTCAAACCCTCTTACCTGTCAGCCACAATCCTCTGTCTGCCTCCTCCTCCACAGTCGCTTGCGGGCTCCACCTCCTCCATCGCTGCCAACGCCAGGCCCAGCCACCTCCTCCGCAGCTGCTGCTGCTGGCTGTCACTGACTCAGCAACGGCTCTGAGGAGGAATGCGCCGCTGCTCACATCACTGACAGATGGTCAGCGATGTAAACAGCGGCGCGTTCCTCCTCACAGCCGCCAGTCACAGCTAGGAGGCTGACATGCCATAGCATCTAAGGCAGCCCGCACAGCATCAGGAGAATGTCCTGGTTGGGCCTCCCTGTGCCACGGGCCCCATAGTGGCCACATGGGTCGCTATGGTGATTGTTCCGCTACTGGTTACAAACAAAGTTTACTTCAGAATAAAACTGCATGCACAATTTTTTGCAATCACATCACATAGGGACGCACGGCATTGCGGTACCGCACCTTCCAATGCAGGCGATTGCACTGCAAGCGGGAGGCGTGTTTAAGGTGCTATTGAAATAAATGGGGTCTATCAGACCCCTAGTGTCACTTTTCCACTTCAATTGAGCTACTCAAGCACACATGGCTTGAACAGCTTCAGCCAGGGAATGACAGCTGCCTGCAGAGGCAGCTGAATTGTAAACACAGCAGGCAGTGGGTGTGTTCAATAGCCAGCCTGCCATTGGCTATTGCAATTTCAAATAGCCAATAGCAGGCTGGCTAGTGCATCCGCCCGCTGCCTGCTGTTAATCAGCAGAGGAGGGAACTGAAGGAGAAAGTGAGCGTGTGCAATAGCGTTTGGGTATGGTGTGGTCAAAACCAACAAATGGGAATCAACTAATCAATAATAACGATTCTCATTATTGTTTATTATTAATTTTATTGATTAGTTGTTGCAGCCCTGAAACATTATATACAAGGCCTGTGTATAAAACCAGCAGATATGGCTGCCCTCTCATACAAATAGGATTATAAATTATACACAGTTCACACTATAGCAATGCGCTAAAGGCACAGTATCTCTGCACGCTAAAGTGCAGTGCAATATGCCGCACGCTACATTGCCATTCATTCCGATTGCCACCCCAATGTACCTCCCAATACCATATTTGCGTGCACTGCGTTGAAAAAGAAGAATGCATGCAATATTTTTTTTTTCACAGCACCACCGCGGACACTATTGCGTTACCATGCGTTGCAGTGCACAGCCATCAGGAGCTACATTGGGGTGCCATTCAGAATAAATGGCAACGCAATGTACCACGGTACTTAGCATGCGGAGCATTGTGGTGTGTGATATCGTGCCTGCAGCGTGCAGATATTGTGGCTTTATCGCAATGCTATTGTATGAACCGGCCCTTACACAATCAGAAGATTATTCACATCTTCACAATCTTTTTTACTTGTACTGTAGGCAGAGACGTACGGCTGTGCTCTTTAACCTCTACTGCTCTGGGAATTCTTTGCCGTGTATCAAAAGTTTATTTGTAAAGCAAGTTTTACAAACTTACAATAATGAAAAGATTTAAAACATAATTTTGAAAACTTAAAGGAGAACTATGAGGTGATGTAAGAGAATCCCTTCGTTTCTCTCCCGAGGACAGTGCCGCGCATGCGCAGTCCACGCTCGTATCTCCACTCCCCCGGCGCATGCGCAGAACCCTACTTAAGCCGCGAGCAAACGAATCTTCGGCGTCCTACTGTTGGTTACAGTGAACGCTGAAGATTCATACCCTGCAGCAGCAGACTAACCAAACGGACTACCCCACCTACTACTCACCCGCCGAGGACAACCAGCCCAAGGCATCTTCGCCGGTCTCCCCAAGGATTACCCTAGAGACTGCTGCCTCACACATGGTTCTGTGAAACCTTCCCCACTGAATTCCAAAACCGCAAGTATCACCTGTCTCCTACCTGTGATTACCATTCAACAGAAAGTTATACTAATACCTGCTTATAAGTGACTATTCAAGTATTGCACTGTGGCGCTTGACAGACGTGACAGGTGAGTGCTTTTCACTCACCTCATAGCTCTAGCCGACCTAAGACAATGAAGGCCGTGACACACTGCACGCGAAGCAGCGCGGAGCTTGCGAGAGCGCGCGGAGCTGAGCGTGCCGAGATGAACAATTTCAACTTCAGCCAAAGCAGTGTGTCACGGCCTTGAGACTGTCACAGGTCAGCTCAGTAGATCGGGAGGTGAGCGAACACATACCAGCGTTCACTCACCTCTAGATCCTGTCACGGCTCTCAGCGCTGACTGGCGGAACGGACGGGGGAGGGGGGTACAGCTGGCTCTGCCTCTAGATAGGCAGAGCCAGCTGTCAGTCACACAGCTGGGCAGATCCCGGCACAATTGCCGGGATCTGCTTCAGCTGCGGCATCTTAGTA